GCAGGGTTGACGCTATCAACATTGTGTGTCAAAATTCGAAGCAATTCCCATGTCACGGATAACTACCGTTCGTAGAATAGAAGCTATTGCTGCGAACTTACAAGAAAATCTGTTGAATATGGAAAATACATTCAAATGTTTCTCAATCAACACAGCACAGTTGATTTTTATCAGGGGAATTGACGAACATTTTTGCATCACGGAGAAATTGTTGTCCATGGAGAGTCTCAAAAGCACTACCACAGGGCAAGGTCTATTCAACAGTGCTATGCACTCGTCAGAAAAGTCAACGTTTCAATTCATTTTGAGTAGGGTTGCTGTTTCGGACCAGATTTGAAATCCCGCTGTCTGGATTTTCACCATCTAATCCCGGGATAAATAAAATTAGAAAACACACACACTTTCATGTATCTTTCTTATGCGAAAACATGAGAGCATCGGGGTATCCATCATTAATACGATTCCTGATTTTGTTGGCAGAAAATCCAAGTGCTGAAAATGCAAGCCCAGCCTCAACTGACGTAGATTTGATTGATTTTAGTGCGTCTCACAACTTTCCGATATTTTTCTGCCTGCTTGTCCCACATAGCAGCATTTCCTTCGGAACCACCGTTCGTCATCAATGACACACATTCGTTCCTTTTCGTTTCCATCGCGTACAACGAAAGCATGAAGCGCTTGTGCCAACGTCATTTGATTGTCTTCTTCGTGGCTGCTATTTTTTGTTTTTATTAAATATTCAGCTTTTTTAAGGATGTCTAGATCGAATTCTTAAGTACAGAGCAATATTTATCGCCAATTCAGTAATTTTATGACGACTCAATTTACAAAATGCACAGTATTTAACGTATCAAATCCCGGAATTATATTCAAAACCAACCCGGGATCGGAGAAAAGTCGAAATACCGGTCGCAACAATATTGAGGATCCGGCCCAGTAGCCCGGTCTGGTATCTGTATCCGACCCACTCAGAAAAGTAATTTCCCATCCCTGCTCTATATCCTCTCTGACCGAATTCTGGCACCATGAAACGCTGTTTCCTCTCGGATACAAATTAATGTCACTTAACAAACCGTCTATTAAAAAAAATGGGGGAGACCCCTCCAATGATTTTATTATGAAGCGCAATACCGTAACGACTCGGGCATGACGTTGAGATATGATACTAAACATGATTTTCCTCGCTAGCTTTTTTGCATTCTACAAGTGGCTTGGAACTTTGGATCGTGCAATAAATTGCTTGAATTATTGAGGAGGTTATTCGTGTTTCATTACTTTATCATAACTAATTTACTTTTAGATGTTTTCCGCTCTTAGAGTAAAGGCGACTCTATAAATAAAGGGCAATTGTAACCTTTGTTAAATGACGATGCATGCTGGAATAAAACACACTCTCGAAAGCACGAGCAAAAAACTTTTAGTAGGCTATGTTATAACATACACGAAATAAGCGAAAAATATATTTCGATGCGAAAGAATCTTCAACTACCTAAATCCTATTCTATCCTACTTTTACTCAGCATTACGGTACCGATACTTACCTTCCTACCAAAGTTATCCTCTGTGACATAATTCGCCTCCATGGTAATCGCTTGTAACAGTACACGAGAAACCCGCATGCGGTGCAAAATTTTGCAATCAATATTTGGGCTGTATATTTGATGATAAATGTACTAACTTATATCTTATATTAATGTAAAGTGTGAATATTATTTGCTCTGCACGAAATGCATTCTATGCGAAGTGCTCATGATATATAACAATGAAAAAAAATCTTCAACTCAATGACGTAAAAGAAATTTGGGTACTCCTGAAGTATGCGCACCAAGATGTCGCATAACCTGAACCCTAACCAGGTACACAACCTGAGTTCAGGTTGTGCGCCATCTTGGTGCGCATACTTCATGAGGTCCGAAATTTGTATATACATCTATCTGAGTTGGATGAAAAAATGCAGGAGTACCACAATAATACCATGTGACAGCAGTATTCTATAATAATTGCGGTCCAATGACATGTAAAGAAGTTTCATTCTGAAGAAGGATGTGACAAAACATTTGTTGAAAAATCAATCACAAGCGTTTGACTTGAAATCCCATGCGATATTCACTCGCAAGTTCGAACCATGCTCGCAGCGCTTCGTCGGTAACAGACCGGCTTGATTCAAATTTACGTGTAAGTCTCATTACTGTGGAAGGTTGAGGTGGGTCCCCACCTACATTCCTTGCGGCTCCTGATACATTATCTCCTGATGAGTAGCAATTTCTCACCAAACCAAGCCTTTCCTCGATATGCACAACTGGAAGACCTCACGCACAAAAAAAAAATGAAGTGAAGTGACCGCGCATGATAACTATGGTACCAGACGTGAATAAGAATATATTTTAAAAATGAATGAGTTGAAAGTCAAGTATATATGATGAATTGGCTTTCTATGTTAAAAGTTTAATAATTGGAATCGCTATCTGTGACGTGTTTGTTGCAATGACGAAAAAACATTTTGCGTTAATTTTTTAACACCTTGTATATATTTATTGCAATTCAATACAAATCTTAATCAAAAATGCAATGTTGCAATGTTCTCATTTTATTATTCACAATAATCATGAAAAATGTTATATTGGTGATTTATAGGGAGAGGGAGTTTCCTGATATCAAACGTCCGGTAAACATCGACCACACACGTTAACGCTGTACTGGTTATTTTCCGATGCGATGTAACAATATTTATGACGTTACAAAACATACCAAGAAGAAGCCAAACTTTCTGTAACATAATTTTATACCAACAACGGGCACGCAAATGCAATAAAATATTTAACAACAGGAACGGCGCTTCGGTGCGTTCCGTCTATAGATCCCCTGCATATAGCACGTCCATGATTTCGATGTGCAATATTTTTTGAGAATAGCTCTCTTGTTCTCTAATGCTCTTGAACAGTTTAAAAAAAATTGTAATATTCATTCAGAACGGATTTGTCAGCATATGGAGCATTTTTCTTCCTTATAATTGACTTTATAATAATTGAATATTCATAATAACCTTAATATTTACATGATGATTTCAGATTAGAGCTAAGATCTGAAGCCCGAGCCCGACATTCCTGGTCAGGTCGGGCCTGAAATGTTAATCATTGCGTTCGGGTCGGGCATGAAATGCCAATCATTACGTTCGGGTCGGGCTTCTCTATCGCTGACTTTTTTTGAAATAATTATATGTTTATAAAAAAATATATACTTGAACTATGTGTGAATACTAAACAAAGGAATACTTGTTATAAAAGAAATGATTTGAATAAAACAGAGAAGAAGCTGTAATAGACCTTCTCCCCGACTTTTTGAGTCCCGAAAATATTCTTCCTATCCTTTACCATAGCCGGCTCGGGCCTGCAAATCCAGTTAGTTGGTCGGGGTCGGGTCGGGTTTAATACCCACGGGCCCCTGTCGGGTCGGGCCTGTGAATCCATAATCGAAATAATCGACTTTCATTCCAGGGGAGTGGTTTTGGGGGTTGGAACCGCCTTTTAAAATGTAAAAAAATAAAATCATCTTTTTGTATGAAACATAGCAATTTTTTGTAGCTTGAAACGCTTTTTAGACCCTCAAGACTCATGAAAACACACGTTTTCCGGCGTTCGGTTGGACCCGCTAGCTGTTTCGATCTGACCAATGACATTAAACAACTTAGCAAATAGAAATCTCAGAACCCTCCCCTCCCTTGGAAATTTAGCTACGCCCCTGTTTTATTCATCTGTTTTATCCATTATTTTGTCGTAAGTTATGCTGGTTATTGAATCGAAATAAAAGTATCCTTATACTGATCTTCGACAAAGGTATTCTCCCGTTTTTTTTTTATCGTTCATTCGATGTCACGTTCTGGTAAGCGTAGTGTTGAGTCCAAAGTCGATTCTGTTTTTTGGCCCGTTGCCGCGCGTGATGCAGAATTCAAATTTCGTTAAGTTTTGCCGTGACCGTGGTCACTGCTGCACTGCGGTGTTTTGAAGTCAATATGTATTCTAGGTCTGGGGTTGCGATGCAAACACGACTAGTCTGCTTAGAAGAAGGGGTTGCGTGATTCAGGCAGTGGTTAACATTTCATGAAAACATGATTTATCAAAAATCTATCACGTTTACACACTTTTCGGTGACGAGCCTTATGAATTAATTGAATTTCAGCCGCATAACTGCATAAAGAAACTACCGGTACTTTCACCTGTCAGGCTGTATGCAGGTATGATGAAAGAGGTGTGATAACAAATCATGATTTGCTCCGGTGCTCAGTGAGACTGTGTTTTAAGGTTTTACTTGAATGTCGCGGCGGTGTGGCGCATCGTGCTAAGCGTTAGGAATACGCTCGCCACTGCACCTCCAATTATTCTGCGTGGGTTCGCAGGTTCGAATCCCATGCAGGGATACCGTAGTTATGTGCGAGAGGATTGCTGGACTCCTTGCCGCCGTAGGGTGGTTCACGTAACCGCTGGTCGGTAATGCATTCCTCCACCATCAAGTCCATGCTTACGAAAAACAAATAGCTAACTAAACCCATACTCGACATGGAATGGTAATCGGACGAGAGGTCGTGGTTCGCCATAGGGTTAAGCCTATTTATCAGCTTTCCTTTCCCCCCCAGCCCCCAGGATAAATATGTAAATCCTTATCCTAATAACGTATGGGCGTATGGTATACCTATATTATACGTACAGACACACCGGTATACATTTAGAGCTTGTCGGTGTGGCGCATTGTGCTACCGGTATGGATTAGGAATACGCTCGCCACCGCATCTCTGATTACTGGATGACATACTGCGGTTGGCAGGTTCGAATCCCATGTGGGGATGGGAGGTTGGCAGGTTCGAATCCCATGTGGGGATGGGATAGTTATGTGCGAGCGGATTGCTGGACACTTCACCGCCGTAGGGTGGTTCACGTAACTGCTGATCAGTTACGGCTTCCACCACCATCAATTCCACGCTTCCGAAAACTAATAACTGGCAACTAATCCCATGCCCGACATGGACTGGTAAATGGACGAGAGGCAGTGGTTCGCCATATGAATAAGCTGTCTTATCGACTTTCCTCTCCCCTGGGATAAATATGTTAATCTTATATTCTTATCCCATAAATATATAAGTCCTATCCTAATTAGCGTTCTTTTTTCATTTTAAAGGCTGCTTCTTTAATAATAAGCAAATCTCTCCCCTCCTGTTCTGTCTGTCTTTGATAATTGAAAACATATTTTCAAGTTATCTCCTGGAATGGAGGGTATAAAGCAACGGCATAAAAATAAGCAACATAGCAAACATGTCAAATCGAAACATAAAAGGAAGAAGAGAAGTTCTCAGCCTGATGGACTTTTTGGTAGTGAAACAAGCAGCTGTCCTGTTAAAAAACGTAAAACAGAGCATGGTGTTTTCGATCTGATATCTTCCAAAAAATTGAAAAAGCTGAATCCTGATTTTTCCAAGGAGTCTGTTGGTGCAAAAACACTTTCAAATCCTTCGAATGAATTTATTAATGGTACTGGTATAAATCATATTCAATCATTTCAGTCAGTAAGCCCTTTAAAAATGGGGAACACTGAAGATGATAGTATCATGAAATCTTCAAAATCCAATTGTACTTCAAGGTCAAGCAAGAATCTTGAAGCTTTCTTTAGTCCTACTGAATATAGTAAACATGTACCAATGACGCTGTTTTCAAAAGTTCACAAAAAAATGGACTCCAATTGTGATAATGAAGTGAAAGAATATGCTTCCCAGTCTGCACAAAAAGCAAAAGATTTATCGACTTGGAATATCTCACAGGATAATTGGAAATCAGATATCATACCACTGGAACCTCCACCTTCACCAGTTCTAAACTTGACGGATATTGAGTTTTCAGATCCATTGATCTCGAAGGGAAATTGTGATGCAATTCCAGATCATTCCGAGTGCAACAATGTCCTAAACAATAGTTTAATAAATGTGGATACTACATCTACAGAAGATCTTACCTCAGATTCATGTTTGAAAATTACTAAAGTTTGGTCCTTGTTTACAAATGATGCATCAAGAAAGAATGAAACTATGGATGAACCAATTAAAGATTCTCCGGTGCGGAAGATGACATTGATCGGTAGTTTAAAAAAGGAAAACAAATGCGCACGGGTCAACTCGAATACACAAGATGTTGCTGCAGGGAACTCGCTATCAGCTTATTCAGAACATGATGATCAGGAATCCATGATATCCGCTTTTACTCAATCTACCTCAAATTATAATAGATCTTTAAAATATAAGCAAAAAAAGAAGTTCCGTCAACCCAAATTGACAAAAGATGGAAAAATAGGACGAAGGAAAAAACATAAGCAGATAATAAAATTGCCTAAAAAAACACGTAGACATACAAGTACAACAAAAGAAATAGATTTCGAAGAACCTATTGAATTAATTGTAAATCACCAGAACAGTGTTATGAAAAATAACACAGAATCAATAAATGTAACAGGCACGAATGAGCTTGACAAAGTTGATATCGAAAGCATGGTTTTAGAGGTTGACAATGCAGCGTCATTCAGTCGTAAAGCTTGCGATCATGTTGAGAAATCTATCAACAAGGTGGCTTATAATGTTATCGATTCCCCAAAAAACAAGATTCAGTCAATAGCAACCGATAATAGGTTACAAAAAGTGCGTCTTCATAATCAGTCAATGGGAAAACCAGTTGTGGTCCTTTCAGATGTATTGTTAAATATGACATCGTCTGAGAAAACTGCGTTAAAACCTGAAAATGATGTTGTGATTTCGAATGACAAAAAGACAAAGTTTTCCAGCGAAAATGTCAGTGTTAAAAAAACAAGACAAAGATTATCAAGTCAACAAAGCAAACTTCATATAGCGAATGAGTTTTTTAAACCTGACGCATCGTATTCATCTAGGAAGTGTCGAACTTCCAAATACATCCGATTAAAAAAACTAAAAGATTATAATGAAATTGTTATAACTATTGAAAGTGTGTTGGAAAAGAAGCATGATTCAGATTTGCCAAGACATTATAATTTTTTCAATGCGGCATCACTTCGTGCATTAATAAGCGCATTTGAATATTGCAAGAAACATAGAAATTGCAAGGCTGTCCTAGTTTCATCAGTTGGACCAATATTTTGTTCTGGTCTAAATCCCCAACATTTGTTAGATTGGACAACTGAAAAAAATCCATCTGAGGATATTATTTTTCAAATGGAGAGATTGGTTGAAGTTTTGGCTAACTTTGACAAACCTATAGTAGGTGCAGTGCAAGGTCCTGCCATTGGTTTTGGTGCATCAATTTTGCTTTTTTGCGATAGCATTTACGCCAGTAAAAGAGCATGTTTCCAATGGCCAGGAATCAAAATAGGACTACCCTCATTTGGTTGTACATCTTCGTTTTTACCCAAGTCAGTTGGTATTCATCGTGCCAAAGCCCTTTTAATGGAAGGAATACAGATCACTGCTACAGAAGCCAAGATTTTTGGGCTTGTGAATGAGGTTTTTCCTCATGATACTTTCATGCAATATGCAGTGACAGCATGCCAAAGTATGATTATGTCAAATGCTGCATCCCTTCATTTCATGAAACAGTCATTGAACCCTTGCGATACAAAACAACTTCTAAAATGCAATACAGAAGAATCTGCCAGACTCAGAGATTATCTGGGATCTATAAAAATCCGATCACAACTGGGAGTTTATATTTCATTAATAGAGTTCAACTTGGCTTGATGTTTTATTGTTTCTAGGGGATAACAAAATTTTATAGCATAAATTTTAATTGAGGGAATTGGTCCCTTTTTATTCTGTTTTATTATTTCAGTTTGTTTTCCTTTATAACATATGCTGAATATCGTTTTAGCTTGATATATTGATGCTGCCAAGGTCTGTCTGTGAATGTTGGTACTGCTTTAAAGTTATTTATATTTAAAAAAAATTTTGATTTATTCTAATTTTAGTGTTGTCTTCAAATTCTTACCTTTCTTTGTAATCTTTTCATGAGAGCTTAAGTACATTTCTAGGTATTGCAACCCATTTACCCCCATTATTAATGGATTTCCGTATTTTTCCCTCAATTTCAGGAGATGAAATTAAATTTCATTATGTTTCAAAAAAAAAATCATTGTGAAAACTGATCTATTAACTCTTTATCACCTATGAGTGCAGCTGCTCTATTTCAATGCGTTCTTTTTCACACCATTATTCGAGCCATTTACACTCATATTCTGAACTTTGTTTTTAGAATCTTGTTCTATTTAAAACTGTGATACATATGTATTATTTCAAAAATTGCCTGATTCGCGTGAATGTGCCACATGCTCAATGTTATTTTTGAAATAGTGTTCACATTAGTTCTGTTTCTCAGGGCATAAGTTTAATTATAAGTTTATTTCGACTCCATAATCAGCATAACAATACATTTGACAGATAAAAACAAATAAATAAAAACTGATTATGAAATCAGGGGAGCAAACGAAACCTTAGATAAGGTTTATAACGTACAAAATATAAGATGAAAGGTTTTGCCAAGAGGAAGTGGTACTTGTTTACTGACCTAAAATTATTAAGTTATTTCACACACGCTCACATGCACCCACCAGCCACACACACACACAACCACTGAGAAGTTATTTAAGTAAGAATAAAACGCGATAAATTTAGGGTATACTATACAGTAAACAAAAATAAATATATAAATAAATACTAGAAAAGAAAAAATTATCTGCCACACCATATTGATATTTTTGTAATGGTTGCCATTGCCAAATTGATCGATCTTCTAATCGTTAATTAAGATATAAAAAGAAGATTCTATTGAAAACATATTGCCAAGCTGATTATAGTTGGAGTCAAATGCCAAGTTGCCCAACCAAAGTTGCCAGAATTGGGTGCATGAAGAGGTGGGCGAGACCATTTCATCCCCCAAATTAGAGCCTATTATTGCCAAATTATAGTCCAGATTGTAATAAGTAATTAAAGTTACCGGTAACAGTAAAATTACTATAATTAAGTAAAGTAGGATGTGGAAATAAATTGGTTACAAAGGGTGTAAGTGAGGTTTTTCATTCTTGGGTATTGATTTCAGACAAGGATATAGGAATAAGGTTGTTATTTCACAGGATATCGGAGTCTTTTTTTTGATTTTTTCCTTATGTGTTTTACTTCATTTAATCACTTTGAAGTAACCTGAAAAACAAAACATAAAACCGCGAGTAGATGTTTCAATGATTGGGTGAAGGGGAACGCTCTGAACTATTTATTACAGGCAAAAAATAATTGTTTAATTAAATGGGATGGATTGTCATTATATAGCGATGGATAGATGATCTATGATGACATTCTGCTTGGGACAGAGAAAAGTTTATCACACCATGCAAAAAACACACAAAATTTTACTATCTATCCCTTGGCCAACAAATCAACTCAAACACCATGCCTTAACATAAAACGCATGCATACATAAATGATATAAACACCACATCCAATTACAATGACCCACAGCAAATTAAAATCTGAAGGGGAGAATCCAACATAGCTCTACTGCTCGCATAGTTGCAATAATTAGTAACCTTGCAGGAACAATATTGTACTATCTACAACCCTTATACCACCACTCAAACATAAGACCAAGCGTGTATGATAAGGACATCACAGCTAGAAAAAGATAAAAACACGAGCGTGAAGTGATAGAATGTGTGCAGTTATTTAAAGAAAATATCATCCGGGTACGTTAGCTACCTATATATTTAAAAAAATATATATACTCATGCATGTCACAATACCATTTCTTTGGTGCTGGACTAGTTCTGGCCAAGTCGTGGCAAGATATAACAATATTATTATAGCTGTTCAACATTTTCATTAAAACAATAATGTGCAAGTGTGGAGTGTCCCAAGTTTTTGTCATCGAAAACCACCAGTAGTAATTTTTAATATTTGGAAACTAAATGAGACTTGACTTGTTTTTGAAAAGATTTTTTGGACTTTAACGTCTTCAAATTTAAGGGAAGAGAATTCCAAAGTTTGGGTCCAGTAAAAGACAAGGAATGCTGACTCACGGATTTACTCATGAAAGGTACGAATAAATCAGAACTACTTCTTCGGTTGGAGGTATTTTTGACAAGTATGTCATTAAAGCAATTGGGCAGCGCATTATCATGGAAGTCGTGAGCTAGAGATAATATTTCAAATTTCATCATATCTTCAACCTTATATTTAGTGATTTGAAGTAAGAGTCTACACTTTCACGTTTTCTTTTACCAAAAACTATTCTTAAAAAATGATTACAAATACTCTGCAGTTTTGAGACAAGTGTTTTATTACCATGAAGCCAGACTGAACAACAATATCGAATATGGCTAAGTAGTAATGATGATGGCATGAGAAAAACTGATTCTCACAAACAACAAAACACGCGATAGTGGGCAAAATGCTCGATACAACAGGTGTTTGATTGTAAAGCTAGATAGCACATGCCTTGGTGGGTGTCTCAAAAAGTGGTCTCAATTGTGAGAATCCCACTTCATATGAATACTAGAACCCGCTGCAAAAGTATCATATCCTCGGATCAGTGTAGTGAAGTAGGGAAAGTGTACGAAATGTGATAGGGGAAGGTTGGGACACTTTTTTTCTTTTGCATATTTTGAGTCGTTAATTCTGCATATTCTCTTAAGTTTGCGGGACTAATGCATAGAGGGGTAAATGTAGTTTTTATTCAGCAACAAAGAAATTCCCTTGCGACACACATCTTACTACCAAAATGCTTTGAAAAACGTCTGTCAAGTGTCCCACTGTACCCCACTTGTGGGGCACAATCGGACAGACCCTGGGGCACAATGGGTCAGTCTGTCAAAATTCAACGAAGTATGCTCTTAAAAATAAGCAATCAATCAGCATAATCGTCTAAAGTACGGGGAGACTTCGAATTTGAAGATTTAATATTTTTAAAATCAATGTTCAACTGAAATAGTTCAGATATTTTGACAAAACATTTTGCAATAAAATTTGATTATTTCCTTCCTCGAATCTAAATCTGGAAATATTATTGATTCTCGAATATATTCCATATTAGGCCATGGGTCGAAAGAAACCATTATATTACACAAAATATAACGCATCTCTAAGTCTCTAAGCACTTATTGTATCAAACACTGTCGAATTGTGCCCTGTAGAGCATGTCCCACTGAACCCCGGTCCATTGTTCCCCATAGAAAACAAATATTTTCAGACCATCCCACGGCAAAATTCGGAAGGCACAGCCACTCGCTAACGTTAGGAATATTTTACAGTGGATTGACGCTAAAGAATATCAGACGATGGTTTGTCTCTTTGGAAAGGCTAAACTAAAAAAAAGAAAAAACTGGAACGGTGAAATTTTTTTTCAACCTCCCAAAACCAATTTCACCCCATAGCTTGCGCCAATCTACCCGTCCGTTGTCCGTTCGCGGGGACGTTGTAACTCACCGAAGGGCGGATTGCAACATCAAGCCGCGGACAGGATTGCGGATATAGTATCAATGTGATAGCTGATTTTCCACTGTGCCCCATGTCCCAACGTACCCCACCTTCCCCTAATATATTTTGACGATTGTGATATATATAGGTCGGGCTAATAATTACAAAACTTCCGTAAATTGTCGCTATTTACCTAGATTTGTCTATACGTGAAAGTTGTGCGGCGCCCAAATTATCTATGTCAAAATGTGGGTTTGATAGTGAACTGTTCTTCAATCATACGGAGTTATGCAACAATACGATTTTATTTCGATCTTTCGTCTATAACACGGAACACGAAAAAAAAAAAAAAGAACACAGGAAATGACGATGCAAAAATCGGGAAAATAGGCAAAACCTAGCTAGTGAAAGGTTCATAGCAAACGCTTTTCACACAAGTGGTAAAACATATCACGGCAGTATTACTGAAAAGAATAAATTCATAAACAGCATGAACATTAACACGAGGAAATAATATTCACTTGTAAAGTTGTGAATAATTTTAGCGAAAGTGATATGTCGGTGCCTGTGCCAAATTTCGAATCCCAGTAATAACATTTGAGTGGTTAGCTGCTGTTTTTCTCGGTAAGCAAACAAAGCTGAAAAGTAAACAACAAATATAAATAACATTTAGGTGATTAGCTGCTGTTTTTCTCAGTAAGCAAACAAAGTAAACAACAAATATAAAAACTAGTTTCGGATGTTGCTTTTCGTGTAACAAAATTGATTCTAATTTAGAAAGTTTTTATTTGAAAATTTGTAATCTTAAGCATTTGCCAATGATGATCAGTCATAAAATTAACTTAGTTCTGACACCAGTTACCGATCCAAATTCTCTACGCAGTAATCTCGACTTCTCTACACTGGTATCCCAGATTTAGTCTTAACTCTTTTTGCTGAGCGCTTGGAAATCCGGTTGTGGAAAAATTGTCTGATTTTTCAGCCCAGACAAATCTTGTTCCCTTATGATTATCGTGAGCTTCTCCTGAGTATATCATCCTCCCAGGCCTCGGATAGAGACCAGTTCTTAGTCGTAGCCCCAATATAAATCCCATTCTTTTTCCATGAAATAGGCTACATTAAATCAGGTCTCTCCCGGTGTCCAGTTCGAATGCCTTGTTTCCATCCTCAATATTATTGTCAGTACCATGTGGAATGGTCGTCGTTAACAATTTTGATTTCACGCCCATTTCAACTTTACGCTTAAAAAGAACTCTACTTGCGGTTTCACATTTGATGTGCGGTTCCTGGAATCGAAAGATTCAGGATCAGATTTGTAGCGTTTTGTCTAGAACTTTAGATTACGCAAAATGGAAATGTACTTCGCAGCATAATATTTACAAAGATATGGATGAATCATTCATTTTGCGTTTACACCACAAAGCATGGCGCACGTGGAAAGAAAACGCTTTTGGTCGCGTTTGCGTAGCGCAAGTCAACAACGTGCGTAAATAAGTACAGAAACACATAACGCGTTACAAAGAAAAAATTGTTAACAAGAAGAATCAAACTTACAAGAAAACGTTAAATGATATTGTTGTCACTATTCGGGCGCAAATTCATGATTGAAATAAAAATAGCATTCGGACGGAAGACTGTTGTTCACCATATTATTATACCGCCCCACCGCATTTCTCTATCCCGTGATGAATATAAAAATCCAATCCCCTACTTCCGAGGAAAACATAAACTTACGTATATTTTTTGTTTATTTCAGTATAAATATTTGTTTATATATAGCAGAGACACTATCAAAATTATCACAATTGTTCCCATAGCATGAGCAACTACTGAGACCTGATATTTTTTCGAATTATGTTTTGACAGTTAACGTCCGTTTCTATATATTTGAGCAATGCTTGCTCGATTTCAGGCGGTCGTTATTTTTCTGGATGGAAAAATAAACTTGACTATGACCAGTTCAAAATTAAGCTTTTTGAGCCCTATATTTTAAAACGGCACATTCGAGTTCCCAATTGTTTTTTTTTTCTGTGAGCTTTCTATAAATGTTACAATATATATTTATTATAATATATAGGCTTAGGCGGGACAGTCCCGCTTTTAGCGTCTTGTCCCGCCGTCCCGACAAGTCAGCCAGAAGTCCCGGGTCAGCGTTCAGCCATCCAGCATAATACACGAACACGTTCTCGTTACTGTTGTTGCTGTGTAGCTCAACGCTAGCCTACCAACATGAAGGTGAATGCGTTATTTTGTTTGTTTCGTTGTTTCCCGCTAACATTGTTAGCGAACGAATCACATGTAAAATAAATTCTAATTGGTCCTGTCCGGACGTCCACGTGAATGTAACATTGAACAACGTCTTTTTGAAGGTGTTATCTACAGAAAAGCATACTTGGGCGAATAAGTAAATTACCAATGCTTGAAAACGGTAGACTATTTCATTATTCTTTATTCCTTTTGCTATACATGAAAAAAATCTAAATTCGGATCATTTGTATCGTTAGCGTCTATTCCTTTCTATTTTTTGAACTGAACCCGATATTTAGACAGAGAATATGCGCATGAACTTTCAATGACAATAGGATCAATGAAGACAGCCGGGACGACTTTAAATGTAGGTCTAGGTAGATGATCACAGCTAAGAGGGTCGTGTCTTTCGAGGCGTCCCGCTTTGAATTCAGAACAAGATGACCCTATATAAATATAATTAAAAAATCATGCCCATCGCATTTGTTAACCAATTGAATGTTGAACCTATCTAATTTTCTACGATACAGCTAAGCAAGTGGACGACGGACCTGATAATCAATACAGTATTGGAAGATGAGTTTTCAGTGCAGAATAATAAAAGTTGGTGGACGCGTCAGTAAGCTTGTTTGGTACTCCCGTAGTATGTGCACCAAGATGGCGGACACCGGAACGTAGCATGTGTATCAGGTTAGGGTAAGGCCATAATTTCAGATACAAATACTACGGGAGCCACGTTCCGGTTTCCACCATCTTGGTGAACATACTACGGGAGCGCCTTTACTTTACCAAATTGAACCAACTACAGAGTTAACCAATTCACATGATGTTGTGCTATCGTCTTCCGTTATGGAGGCTTTCGTCTAAGTTTATTTGACTGGGAATTTGAAGCGTTAGGTGGTTTTCAATCACCTTTGCTGCAGTTTTTCCCAACCTAATTTGGTAGCAACACATCCTCATGAATTACAACACAAAACTAGCAACTATGAGCTAGCATGTCGAGTATGAAAGTGTGGAAGACATTTGTTTTTATTTTTCAAAAAATAAACGTTCCCTATAGAAATATAAAGAATCCTCACTCCTGGGTCGAAGTACGGAGTTGTGCCCTGCATTGATAGGCACACAGGATAACGAGGCCCGATGCTCAATCAGCATTCATCAAAACTCTCAAGGCTGACAATGGAGAGATTGTCATCAACGTTCTGTCGCTTGGATTTTGTAACTCCTGATTTCACTGGCGTTGCCCAGCAGGCGTTTTTGCTATAAACGGGTTTGGGGAAATCCAATTCGGGGACTGTAAAAGTAAATGGCTGCTCGATGTCAATATTGCCATGTGTCCTCATTGCCCGTGGAGGTATCATAGCGGGTGTAGGAGGCCTTGGCCTGGTCTCATCACGTAAGTTTGCACCGCCGTTTTCAAAGTAATTTTTGAGAGACACGTTTCCCGAGGACCGACTGAGTTTTGCTTTTGGTCTTCCTCTTGCAGTTTTCGGCCTGCTTTTAGTTTCTTCCTTTTTGGTACTGAAAATCGGCGGAAGAGGATCGTCTATTGGAGTCATTATCCTACTGACGAGATGTACTTGTGATACTGAAGGCAATTCCGGCATTTTCACAATCACATGATTATTCTCCAAACTGGGCGCGTTGATAAGTTTTATGCTCGAATTGCTACTTATAGCGTTCATGATTCCATTTTCTAAAAACACTGAACTCGTATTTGAATCCGTTGAACTTTCGTTTACTTTGAGACAAATTGGTTTTACTCGATTTCTTCTCGATGCTCCACAGCATCCACAAAAAAAATACGACAGTCGAGTGTTTCTACGCCAAATCATCCAAGATGTATGAAGCAGAAATAGAACGGAAGCAATGGTAAATAGCAATAAGCCATGGATAGTTAGCCATGACTGGATGGCCTCATCGCATCCTCTGTCAAAAGTTTCATTGAAATCGAATAATTCACTATTTTCTACTACAAACGGGACCGAAGTATCTGCGACAGGACTCGTTGTAGTCCCGAAAATAGCAATTGTTGAAACGTCAGTAAAAATGTTCTCAGAAGATAAAGAACAATCTGATCTATCGATGCAACAGGATTGTGGTGTCCAATCCAGGACGATACCCGTATCGTCGTCGATCTGAATCCAATCCCTGCGTGACTCACGGCCGCAGCATTGAAATGTGTTCTGAAATGGAAGTATACACGGTTCAAGATTTTAACTAAAATATTTTTTCTGAATATATATATTGAATGTACTTTAGTATCGATGTACATTGTGTTACAAGTACTTTCACTTCAATCTGATATTATTATTGTATATATGGCTAGGTTTGGAACTACTTATTATCTGGAAAAAATGACATCTTTTCGATAGGGTATTGCCTGCTCAGTTTATCACACCCTGGGAGAGGGGCATTTGAACCCAAAATTTGTGACCTGTGATGGCAACACAGTCAAGTCAACCGCCTGATTACCCGCTAGGTATTTAAACCAGCAGCTATATAATTATGGCCTTTGTTTAACCCGACATAAAAAAAATCGATTAAAAGCAAAGGGTGTTTCTGTAAAGGCATGATGATTTTGATCACTATGCTCACGCTTGAAGAAGGATTGATAGTAGGCCCAATAAATCGGGTTATCATTGAATCGTTCAGGAATAGAGAAAATAGTGTTGAAAAAGTACGCGTTCGTGTGTCACTGTAAACGTCGCAAAACCGCTTTTCGAATAAACATACTCAAACATACATAAACTGAACTTCCGTCATTTATATAGTCGATTATACTTTATTCTTTATCATATACTGGACACAAAGTGTTTTTGGTTTTGCTTATTCTGTAATTCTGAGGTGAAAATTACATTACCAAAATTCCCTACTCAAGTCTGTCTGGATTGAATGGAAGCACGAAGAGAATCAAACTGGTTATTTGTATTTACAACTTTAATATTTTAAAGTCTAACCTGATAAACATCTATGATGTTTTGATTTGTTGATTCCACAATTCCGTATCCGGATATTGCGGACTCCATCAGAGATGACATGTGACTTCTTATTGGTGAATCTACAACGAATGACATCCCGCCTAGAGCAAGGCATATTACTATGGAAATTCTCAAAATATAGATAAAGCAAACTGATGCTTTCGGCTCTTTATCAGGAAAATCATCGATGATGCTTCTTCGACGATGAACGCAAATTGCCCCATACAGTCCGATGACCTAGTTTGTGAAACACGATCATAGGTTATCATGTATAAAGTTTAAATACGATAATAAACCACAATATAAGTTAACTCATATTTACCAAAAGTGTTTCCAAGATAAGTGCGAAAACGACAAGGAAAATCCACGAAACGTCGCCGAAACTTGTACCAGCGCTGGGCAGATACACAAAGATATCCGCACGCTTGATTATTCCGGAGAATTCTCCGCGATCAAACACGCCAGACTCTGCGAGATGAGCAAGAATCACCCAAACCAGTAAGATGCATCCAAACAGAATGCAGGCAAACAGGTTCGTAGCATACAAGAAGAAAGAAATCTGGGACAAAGAGTTAATTAGCAATTATAAAAATAAACTTGTAACGTTTTTTTTATCAAATATAAACTTACCTTCTCCGATCTTGTTCTGTCAATTTTAAATCGCTTTGAGGTAACATTGATCAATTGATCCATATTATGACCGGGAACCTTGAAAGATACCGGTTACGATAATACTGAAATTTTTGTTTTTACGCTTTTCATTAAAACGGCAATGTATACTATGACGTCACAATACAAGTACGACGACAAAATGGCAGTCGATACGCTGTAGGTCACTTGGCATATTCCACTGTGATGTCGTTCCCGAGTAAAGCAACGTAAATACTTTTTCTTTGATAATGGGCATATTGTTTCCAGCAACAGTGAAATTAAGCGCGATGCTGCGAAGCATCCTAATAAAGGCATTGACACAAATATATCAGCGTTGGTATATTTGAAAGAGCAAAATGGGATGTGAATTGGTATGGCACGAATTCCTCCATTAAATAAGAAAGGTTGATTATGGAAGTTCGACACTGAGTGCCGAACTTCCCCGAAAATAAGACTGAGTCTTATTTCAGTTTTCTTCCGAAAAATAACACTAGGGCTTGTTTTCGGGGGGTGTCTTATATTTTTATTTATCAAAAAAAAATTACAAAGAAGACTAGTAGTGAATTACGAGATTTTCAAATATACAGAATATGAATACAGATATCCCTTCACGTATAAATAACACGTTTTTATTCAAAATACGGTAACTGTAAAGCATTTATTATCAATCATTTAAAACGTGTAGGAGAGATTTCGCATTATTGACTAGGTCATATTTTAAGGGTAGGGCTTATATTGAAATCTATTTTAAAATTCAGGCTAGGTCTCATTTTCGGGGAAACACGGTAGCTATGTGCGAGAGGATTGTTGGATTCCTCACAGCCGTAGGGTGGTACACGTAACCGCAGGTCGGTTACGGCTTCCTCAAGTCCGTGCATACGAAACAAATAACTGGCTAACTAATCTCCCGCGATATTGACAAGTAACCGGACGAGAGGTCGTGGTTCGCCATATGATTAAGCAGCCGACTTTCCTTTCCCCGGGATAAATATGTAAATCCTATCACATTACCAAAATGTCGCAAGCCACAAAAGGCTTAACTCATGCTCGTCACGGACTGCAAAAAAGTTATGAATCACGGTGTGGTTAGCGTTATTTGACAAAGCATTGACCATTCTTTATTCATCGAAAAGTTTCTAAGCCGCAGAAATATTGATGTGTCTTTCTTATTTAACAATGGCTCGCTGAATGGACGATGTCTCGGAAAATTATAGGCAAACGTTGAGCTCTTTATTTGTTAAAAACAAATACGTTGTTAGTTGGTCCGGCCTGTGCGTCACCATACTTTTCGTCTTGGTCCATAGCGATAAACATTCACCCCTTGGCATCGAGGCAAAAAATGAACATTGCTTTAATTCGAAGGCGTCTGAGTGAAAGGTAGGAAAGCGAGCAAACGAGAATTTTTCTGGGTCTAGAAATAGATTCAATTTATTCAAAAACTTATCTCAAACAGTTACTACAGAGCTTTCAAACATCAATGCACGGTAATACGTCGGCAACCGCTGGTAAGACGTGGCCATTCCATTCTTCAAGTTAATTGTTAAGTTGTGACTAAGCTATAAAATATTTCTTGAACAACGACAACAAACACCTTAATCCGAAATCGTAAATATCATTAAAAGACTGGAACGAATCTAGTAACTTATCGTTACCAAAATTGGTGTTGGTATTGATCTCTCTTTCGAAGGTTTACAGTCTGTTGACTGCAAAGATATTTATTCATGTGGAATTCGCTACCTCGTAGCTGTTTTTTTTCGAATAGATTTATCTGGATATAGATTTCTTGGTGGTGTCGACCTGAACTTCAATTCACGACCAGATATTGCTTTCGACATGGCAGTAGAGCAGAGACAAGCAATGATCACGGATATACAACAAGATGCCAGCAACGTTGATCCCAATAATTCATTCCTAAAATATTCTAACATACTCGTGTGGGAACTCTACCTACAGATCCTGCTCCTAACATAAATTTCATTCCTAGCTGCACTGGAACACATTCTCACAAACCATGAACTTTTATCACAATCAAAGTAAAAATTAATTTTGAACACGATTTCAAAAAACTAGAGACAGTGTGACTGTGAATGCAAATTGACAAATGTTAGTCCTCATCGCTGGCTATTTCCATACTTATTCCACTCGCATCTGAGTTTGCTCCGTCATCTGTAATTAATAGAAATGTATAAGAGATTTGTACAAAAGCATTAAATTGCCCTATAACAGGGGTGTGCAACCTTTAACACAGGGGGGGCAGATAGAAATCACTGGGTGAAACCGCTGGCCGCACCTTATTAAGCACAGGCTACTCGCACATGGCAAATCAAACTAAATACTCGTTTCGTTGGCCACACAAGTTTTCCTCGAGGGCTGCATTTTGCCTGCTGGCTGCAGGTTGCACACCCCAGGCCGAGAACATGGTTTCCCAACTTTCTGCTCATCGGTACACTTTGGAAAATTTAAAGATTCACTCGTGTACGCTCTGACCCTCAACTTATTTTCTATATCTAGGCAACTCCGTACATTGCCTCAAAATTTGCTAAAAAACTTCAACCACATTCTCATAGCAATCAATAGGCTGTTTTGTCTTGCATAATGTGATCGGGCGAATAAGTCATGTGAACTGCGAAAGTAAACTTGGTAGTTTCCATAGTTGTGGTTTTCAATAGTGTGAAAATGTGACTCAGGTCTTCAAATTATTAACATCAGGTGATGAAATATATTTCAAGGCAGATGAGAGGTTAGGGAAAGAATATCTTTATACTTAATCTAAGGTACCCCTCGAAAAGTCGAAACGAACCTTGGGGGGTACATGTACCTCACTTTGGAAGAAATGGCAACAGTGTGGGCCAATTCCATGCAAATGCAAATATGATGACAAAGGTAGGAAAAAAATTTGCGAATAGCCATCTGCTAAAAATGTAAAACAATGAAACAGAGTTGTAAACTATCATGAAATATAGTAGTAATTGTACCTGCATCTCCCATTGTAATTACATCTTCTCCAGGAGGAAGAGGTTCAGCCATTCCAGGTGGAGGTGGCTCGTGTGTTGGTTCACGAGGAATCATAGGCTTGAACTTGCATCCACTGGGTGGAAATGGTTCATCTTTTTTTGCCATTGATCTTGTAAATCTTGCAGGAACAAAAAGTGGTGCAGTGACTGGAGGGACCGGAATAAATTCGTTTGTATTGTCCTTAATGACAGCTGAATCTTTATTTCTACCAAATGGTAAGTTGTTAGTTTTGCTAATTGCACGAGTACCCAGGATAACAGCTGCTGTATTGGGTTTAGGTTGAAATTGCCTGGCACTACGTCCAGCTGGTAAAGTTATAGATGATAAGTGATTTCGAAGCGCATTTTCTCTCTTCAACGCTTCGACCTTTTTCTGCAGCTCTGCTGTTTTTTTGTCTTGTATGGCTTTATCGGACTCTGGTTGAAATATTGAGTCTGATTTTGAAACGCTTGTAGGAACAGAAAGTCGTGGAGGATATATTTGACTCTTTCCAGTTATTTTGATGGCAATTTTACCTTTTCCAGCGAGGTCTCCATTCCTATTATGGTCATGAGCTTCATTCGGTAGAACAGGATTATCCACAGGCACTTGATCGAACTGTTTGACTGTTTCTGCTTTTGAACCAGAACCCCATGAGAACTTGCCAAAACCGGGTGTTGGAATTTTAGAGCTGGATGAAGTAACAACTGGCTTACTGTTATTTTCATTCTCTTCTTTCTTTGGAATAATCTGTGGAGATTTTTCAACCCATTTGTTTTCATGACTGCGACTACGCGAGCGATGGCTACGTCTTGTTTCAACGCGACGTTTATCATGTCTGACTTCATATCTATCGTCTTGCTGTCTATCATATTCATCATAACCCGGAGACCAGCGATTTTTTCTAGGTCTTGTGTGGTCTGCTGATCTCTCACGAAATTCATCTGAATATTTTCGAGGCAGTTTCCTTTCATCTTTTCTATCCTCTCTATAATGTCTTTTCTCATCCTTTTCTTCTTGTCTATATGATTTAGGTTTCTCCTTGTCTCCATCTCCGAATGATGATCTGTCATAGCTTCGTCTTTCAGAATCACGGTGGTGTTGCCTTTCAGGCTCCTCATATCTGTGCTGAGAGTGTTCCCTTTTTACATCTTTATGCTTCTTTTCTTTTTTGTGTGAAGCCTTATCTCCCTTATCCTGTGCAGTGCCATCATTTTCTATGTATTTTAAAACTCTCTCCACTCGATCAGAGTATTTTGATTCCTTCAATATCGGTTTTGATTCTTTTAACACATGCTTCTGTTCATCCTTCGCTTTTGCAGGCTTGTCCACATATTTGACTTGAGTGTTGATATTTTTTTCCTTCATATTTTTATTTCCATTTTCCATGGCCTGTATCACAGCCTTTTTCTTCTTTTTGAACTTCTTTTCATATGAATGATGCTTTTTACAATGTTTCTGAAAAATTGTTTATTATTAAACACTGTATGCCCTAATAAGTGCTAATAAAGAATAACAGGAAATGTTATAGCAGATTATGTTGTTAAGAGTTCCGGCCCTTAATTAAGCAGCTCAAATGATAAATATGAATAAGGATTACGATTTGAGATATCCGACTTCTGTAGAACAAATAGGAATAAGCGCTTAATAAATCAAAATTTTTTATCGATTAACGCAGAATAAAAATTATGCTCATGAATTCAAGATCACCAGCTCACCCAGAGTTGGTGTGTATCATACATACATTATATTTAGGAATGAATTGTGACAACTTACATTACTAAAAATTTAGCTACTGAAAATTATTGCACAGCCATATGTATTAACGATTGATAATGCGAAATATGGAAAATAAAATTCTGTTTCATAAAAAAACATTTAAGAAACTGCCAGGTGCTAATTAATATGCACAAATAAAATACAAAATATCAAACATTTACTACTAAATGAAAGAATATATAATTGTGTTACCTTATATATTGTGTTGTGCAAATAACTTTTACAATGCTCCTCAGCACATATTTGATCTCCTGAAAACGTTTGACATAAAGTGCAGAAATATCCAGTGACCGGAATCAAGAATTCTGATCCTGTGACAAAACAAGAATTGCTGTCAAAACCAAAGTAACTGCAGGAAATAAAATAAGAGCAGCTGAGAAACAACAAAAGGCATAAATCAATAAATGAGTCAATAAGAGAATCATGTTTGCGACTCATAGTTATAATTCAGTACAAAACACTAAAACAAGTCGACTTATACGAATCCACTCAACAATATACTGACAATATATAGAGATAAAAAGATTGAGTTGAGGCAACAAAACATTTCATACATAGCTCAACAATGTTCTATCACTTTATCCAACTATACACAATTGTATTCAGAGAAGCATATCGTCGCAGTGAAACCAAAGCTTTTGTCACATTTTACGGTTTCGATAAAATCACAGACTTCTAATTTTCATATCTGTACAGCCGAACCTAAAACTGGACATAAAACGCTACCCTACATCGGAACAAACAGCTACAGCTTCGTAACTAAGCCTTGAACCAAATGACAGAAGATCAAAAAAAGTCTATATCTAAAAAATGTGACTAAAGCTTCTTCGGTGTTAAGGCAGTGGTATAGGCTAATCTATTCTGAAACTATGCGTGCTATTGGAACAACTCTGTGGTCTTTCAATTCTGTTATATAGTCAGTCAAGTCCTCTACAGAACAAACCATACATGGGTTGTTTGAACTGTTTCATGCATAAAACTGCAATGTGGTTACATCAAGCACCCTTCATTAGTCAAGCATGTAAAAATTTTCTATATCAAAATCAGTTGAAGCACTGACAAAGAATCATTACAATGACAAAGCAAGTATGAATTTGTTTTAATATGGCATTCTCGATTCCAAGGTGGTAAAGTAAACTAGCTTTAGACATTTTTCTATGATTTGGTGAATCTGTCACACAGTGATAAGACAGTTTTTAAATCATTTCGGTGTTACCAGTTCATAGGTACGAGAATTAGTCCATCTGTTTCAGATGCATAGACTTAACATTCCTAGAGACAATTCATTGAATTCACCTTTTAAAGCCTTGGTAACACAGTCATCAGCTTTCTTCTTTTTAGGTTGATCGTCATCATTCCATGGTCTATCATATGGATCAATTGACTGAAAAAGTGTATATAACTTATGTAAACATGGTTTTAATGAAACAACAAATAAAAGATGAAATAGGTGATAAATAAAAATGAAAAAAGCCTTTTTTTGGATTCATTATAACGTCTTACGTATCAATATTTTAATTGTTTTTATAAAGCATTCCCCTGTTAGAAAAAACTAATGAAGAAGTTATTATTATATTACTAAGAAAACTATTTTTTAAACAGTAAACCTTATTAATGGGGAAATGTAGAAATTCTTTGCTTTTGTAACAATCTAAAACTCAGTTATTCAACTATATAGAAAGTCAAAGTTGTGTACGTAAAATCATCAACACGAAATCTTATCCAAATGGTTTTTGAAATTACTCTTATTTTAGAGCATGATAAGTTTGATTAAAAAATGGCCTTGGTATAAGAACTATATATTTAAAAACATTAATTATAGCATAATTTGCTAGTTTTTCCCACAGGCTAACAAAGTTTTGCATCTTCAACTTGCTTCAACTTGCAAGAACGCCATTACAAGAATATAGAATATTTATGTACTGCAAATTGAAAACACGGACTTAGACTCTCCTGGAATGTTTCAAATTGGGTGACAAATTCCCAGCGTGTTTTGCATGCAGAATTACCTTTCTATGAGATTTGCTGTGAAGATGAGTTAAAAACTCCGCTAGATCTGCAGAAACTGTATCACATATCTTGCACAAATGGTTTCCAGGGTCAAAATAATCATATTTGTCTTCTTTATCTTCCTGCTAATAAAATTTTAATTTGAAATTACTTCAATAATCACCAACACTAATCAAAACTTGCCATTACCCATTTGCTAATAAATTATATTTTATAAATGAACGCGTAATTTTACTCAATACTAATAGACTGGAGAAGTATGAGTGGGAATACGTGACACGACTTTTGTCATTGTCAACACATTCGAATATAAGTCTGTCTCTGAATATAGCGATACTTGAAGAATGAGACCACAATTTCATATTTCTGTGAGAATACAACAAGAGAACTATAAAAAAATATGATATTTCTGATATTCTTCTATGTGCAACTAGGCACGAGGATACTTGAATAGGACTATATTAAAAGTAAAAAAGCTTGTATTTCTGTGAATACTATAAGAAGAAAAACACGAGATAAGATATTTCTGTTCTGATGGAAAAAAATATTAAATTCTTTACACACCGTTGCTTCATCCTCACTACTTTCTGTAGCAGATGCGATACCAGCAGCCTTTTCAGCTGCCTGGCGTATTTCTTTAATCTGTTCTTCTACACCAGCCTGAAAATTCAAAAAGGATTTGTTATTTTTCATTGACAAAGATTTAAATTTCAAGCAAGATTCACACATGCACAAAAAAAACCTAATGTATTTTGTTGAAATCCTTTTAAAATCACTCTGGCATGCATTGTGGCTGCATGTATTTACAAACTTCGGATGAGAACGATGTCATTCTGAAAGAAAACTTGTTTGATTACAAAATGAATACAATCAAAATTTGTAGATGCAACAAAAATGGATTGAACATTTCTTAACAAAAATGAGATCATACCTGTAATAAATTGTTCTTTTTGATGAGAGGATCTTTATGACCATCTTTTTCTCGTCGCTTTTTTCGCAATAACTCATTTTGTTGTTTCTTTAATTTTTCTAACTCAAGTTTAAGATATTTTAATCTTTCTTGTCGAGCATCGTCAGTTTTTTTCGCTGGAGTGTCAGGTCGATGGGGTGGCAGAACAACACGACCGCTTGTTTGAGGAGGAACTATTTGCTGATGTGGCTGATATAGTGCTTGTGGAGATTGAGCAACACTGCTCACTGGTTGATAAACTAAAACGCTTCCATCTGGATTAAGCGGACCTTGGACATGTATTGGATATCCAAGACTAGTGTTTATTGAAGGTTGTATAGTTGGTGCTACAGCAGGTGCATACGGAATGCTGGCTGCCTGATTGTACGGATCATATGGTTGATAATATTGCTGAGCAGTTTGAACTGGTTGAGGAGCAAGCCTTGGTCTTGCCACTTGACCTCCTTGAATTGTTTGAATTTGTTGTGGTTTCTCAATTCTATGCTGAACTGGCTTTATAGGTTGAGGATCTGGCGTTGGAGTTGTTAAATCTGGTACATGTGTGGATTGGGCAGTCTGACTTTGCTGAGCTGACATTTCGAAGTTGAATCCAATAGCTTTTAAAACGTTTTTCAATGCGTTTGAATCAAATCCACCAGGAGTCATTTTTGTTGGTATTTTTGGTTCATTGGGTACTTGCACAGGCTCAGGTTTCTTTTCCTGCACCGCAGTAGGGACAGGGGGCTTGATAGCTTTTACTTCTTCTGCTGTATAGCCCAGTGATTCACCATATAGGAACCTATCTTCGTCATCAATATCTTGCTGGGTATATGATTGCTTAGGAGGACTATTTCCATAAGCTTGACTCAAGGCGGCTAAGCTTGCAATGTTAGTTGAAGAATTGGTTACAACGGTGGCAGTGGGTTGACTGGCAACAAGTGGATAAGAGCGTTTCTCTTCTTTCGGACCTCTATTCAGAACAGGATGAAGATATCCCGCATTGTTGCTGTTTTCTTCCTCAGAATTGTCTTCCGCCTTTAGGTGAAGCGGATTGAAATCCCTGTTTGTATTACTTTTCGATAAACTTCTGGAATGACTACGAGAGCTTGAACTTGATGAGGAAGATGATCTATGTTTGAATCGCTTTCTTGATCCATAACTTGATGATCGTCTGCCTGAATGATGTGGTGGCGAATGTCGTCTCGGTGATCTGCTACTTCTGTAACGACTACGACCTCGTGATAATGACCTTGACCGAGATTTACGTCTCCTAGGGCTGGAAGATCTAGATCTCGAGCGATAGAAAAGATTTCGTCCTTTGGTGGGCACACCAGGGGGCAACGCAGGACTTCTAGAAGAAACATGTGGAGGGATTGGAGATTGGACACGTGGTGGTGATCGATCTCTTGAATTTCTTCGCCAAGAAGAATATCGGCTGGGTGATTGTCTCGGAGATCTCTTATCGAATTCACGGCGGTCATGTTGCACAGCAGGCCATGCGTCTCTGATATGGTCTTCACGATCTCTTCTGTACGACTGACGATGATGATCATGCATTGGTGAAAAATGATGCTCCCTTCGACTGAAAAACATATAAGGGGAAACGCATAAAACAGCTTGTAATTCACGATAAATTATATGACGGACATTTTAAAAAGCACATACTCACCATTCATGTATAAACAATTCAAGTCGTTTATTAGTGTTATAACATAACTTAGAAAGGCATACTATGTGATCGAAAATAAGAGTGAATTTTCCTCAAGTACACTTACTCTTCATAACAGCTGTGCACATTTACAAATTTCTGGAGTAATACCTGTTCTTCGCATTTTATGATAGCTAACTCATTCACCACCACAATGGGATGACACATAGGTACATATTTTATTTCTCCCTCCCGGCATTTAGCTAGAGCTGATAATTTCACTTATATACTATTTATTTAGCTTATTTCTTTTTATCCTTACTCCACTACAATTGATTAATTATTGATATATCTGTACTGATGTCTCCTAATATCTAATCTAAATTTTTGTTAGTTGACAAAAAGAATCTACGTTCTCTAGAAATAAAATAAATAATTTGCTTCATTGGATATTCTTCAATCTGGTAGACAAATTTGCTGTATTGCAGATTTATGTAAGTTCATTAGAATCGTTTTTTTTGCGACTGAATGACGTTCTCTAAAAGTGAGAAAACAAAGTTTCAACTAAATAATTATTGAAAATCACAGATTTAGTAACACAATAGAAACATAAACCAAACAGAATATCATTTTATCAATTTTTCATGCCCGTAGCTTGATCTCTTACCGAAGTTCTTCTTCGTGTCTAAACCGATCTCTAGAGGGTGAAGTATGAGTCCTGCGATAATAATCATTGTTTTCAACAGTTATCCTTAAACTGTCGTCCACTGGTCTTCTGCCAAAGTCCTGTATGTGAAAAAAATTAGAACTTCATTTGCTAAATTCTGCCATTTAACAATCTTCAGTTACAGAGTTCTGGAGTCAGAAATATAGCGTTTTATCATTGAAGTCATGGTTGTAATAACACCTAAATTTTGGGAGAAAGAGATGAGTCATAACTCTGTAATAAAGGTTTGCTTCCTAAGTCTGGTAAGGTTTCAAACCAGAAGTCTGGAAGTAGGCCTACAAGCTGACAAGTCGGGAGGCCGGAGATGAAATAGATTTATTCTTTTACTATTACAGTATTAGGCTATTGCTGTATTATTTATTATGAATAATAATATCCCTGACATTTCTGCATTAGGACCATAATGACTAAATGATGCAAATACAGAAATAACATGAAAAATATTGCTGGGAAATAAAATAGTAAATTAAAACATGGTACGGTACCGTACCGTAGCCTATAGATAATGATCAAAATTATCACTCACCATGCTCAAACAATGAACTCTGATTCAGTTCAAACTTAAAACTCAAGTTTACTCAGCAGTTCCAACGTTCTTGGAATCAAGTCATGAAAGTTGCCATCAGCCAGCAAGCTTTGAAAAACAATCTGACAATCAGTTCCGCCAGAAATTAAATTTATCTTTAAGCTAAAGTTAATAGTAGGCTGCAATATTATCTGAATATTGTTACTGCTGTAATATAGATTTATTCTGATATTACTGTACCGGTATTTCTGTATCACAGATCGGGTGGTCCACGAAACCGCGAACGTTCGGTACCGGTACCACTGCAACTTCACGCTAGAAAACTGACCAACGACCGCTTGCGAGAGTTATCTTCAAATGGAAGCGAAGTGAGAAAAAAGTTTTTTCCGCGAATACAGAACCGCGAGAACAAAATTTGCGCTAGCGAAATTTTATAAAATGTAGTTTCACAATTTGGGCAGATGTAAAATTGTAATGAAGTGTAGCACTGGGAAACATGCTGGACTGTTGGTACATCATGCCAATGACGACGTGTATTCAGGATATGATTTACATATTTGTCCAGGGGAGAGGAAAGCCGATAAGACGACCTAATCGTTTATCGAACCAAAGGATGGGATTGGTTAGCCAGTTATTTGTTTTTGGAAGCATGGACTTGATGGTGGAAGAAGCCGTAATCAACCAGCGGTTACGTGAACCACCCTACGGCGGCGAGGAGTCCAGCAATCATCTCTCGTACATTCCCATTGATCATGCAAAGCATCAGGAGAACGCGCTGGCCTTCACACAACTGATGGCATTCTATGAGTCTGCAGGTTCGAATTTCTTCATATGTAATTATGTGCTAACAGATTGCTCCACCTCCCTTCATCGCAGTTTTTGTATTTGTGTTCTCCATTATTCGTCCATGCATCAGGAACGATAAACTGGTCGGCTATTTTCATACGTGATCTAATATAGACGGTAAACAACAGACAGGCAGACAATGTATAATGCAAATAATAACATGAAACAACGATGGACGAAGCGGCTCAAAGTGACGCGATAGGCTTGATGCAGAATTGCAGACAATAAAAAAAAAATAAACAAACACACTTGCGCGTAGTTGAATGTAAATTGCTCAAAGCGCGTTTCATATAACAATTTTTAAATATTAAGTAAGTAAAAGAGAATAAGTATTTCTCAAATATGCCGAGCATTTTCTGCCCTTCAAACTTCCACCAAACTTCTTCAAAGCGTAAAAGCTGGGCCCACACAAATATCGGATTTGGCGTTTTATATTGCTATTATAGGGAGAATGTTTTGCCCTATAAGTCTATAATCCATAGTTACAACCCACAATAGCTACACTATTATCCAAGTAGCCTACTTACTTGAGGATTATAAGTTAGTATTCTTAAGCATTTAATTCTGATTTTGGTCTTAAACTTTGAGCCTCTGCTATACAGAGCGTTACCATGGCGTGACATGTATTATTTATTTTTCTACTCTATATATATACGATAGTGTACTCTTCATATCATGCCCGGATGAAGTTTTTCTGAATAGAAATTCAAAACGTCGGCAAATTATATCGTTTTGCTATGTATACACCGGTTGTGCTTTATTTATCTTTGACATGAATATACCTGGTGGCAATCATGCGCTATGTATTAAAGAGCATGCTTTTTGATTTTGTAGGATTATGGATTATATCACGTAGTCGTGAAGGGACTGTTCCTCGCACTTGAATAATAATCTATTTAGTCCAGTTGCTCAAGCGTCATCTGCGTGGGAAAAACTCGTGGACCTTTCCTCGAGCATCGATTCCTTGTTTACATCGTTGCATTGGCTAATCAGCAAGAGGCAAAACGTGACGTAACAATGCTCCCTTTTCGCTTCCGCTCAGACACTTTTCTCACTCTGACAGATTTTCGTGCGCGGTCGTAAACACTACCTCGTTTTCGCATTTTTGAACACTATTCGTTAGTTTTCAGTTTTATTTCGAAAATTTAAATATAAATCAGATAATTCAATGATCACTCTGTCTTCCTAGGAGTTTTAATTTAATTGCAGTAATAAAAAATCATTGTAGAAATAGCTGTGATACACTAGGCTAAAATTATTTACCGGTACTTTCAAAAAACAGATTTTATATAAACGTTGAATTATAATGATGGTTTGAAACACATACCCCATTTTCCAGGCGCCAACTCGCGAAACCACTCTTTGAATAAGGCCCTAAAGTTTTGCAATGGTAAAGTATGGGAATTTTTCGGAGGTCAAAGGTCGGGGAAAGGTCCAATGAACCTGAGACTGAGATTTTCAGTTCATTCATGCACATTTCCAGCATGTTGGAGAAAACGATAGCACAAAGTTGGAGTGAGGCGAATCGGAAATGAATCCGGACAAGGGTAAAAATGTATGAGTCCTCATCATGGTAGTCACATATACCTTCACAAAAATTTATTGTGATGGAAAGCGCTAGTACCAGACATATTAGTCTATTATCGTTCATATCGACAACACTTATACAATGATGAAGCCATTGGTGCCACAGACACGAAAAATCTTCGAATGGTCTCTCCAGCATCACAATATCTGAATATAAATTGAACGGACAAGTGACAGAAAGTTTTTAATCTGGGTGAACATTATTTAAATGGTAATTTCAGTTCAACGTTCCTGTAAAAATAAAATATCGGCTGATGGCACATGAGACCTAAATCGACCAATTAGCGCGGACAATTGTTTGAGTATATTATGTAGTTCCTATTATCAACAAGTCGTAATACGAGTCATTCGAGTTAACGTCCAAAATTGTTGTCTAGTCTAGAGTGAAATTTATTTCAACAAGTTGCTTTTTGGTCATTTTCCCACTATTGTGACTTTGATGAATGTCGTGGAACAAGGCTGCCCAACCCGCGGGCCGAACGCTGAGTGCAATTATAATGATGAATTTGGAACCTGAATATTCATATTAATTTCATCTGATTGCTCTTCCGTGTCGGCTAAATAAAAAGTCAACAATATCTTAACTACTGGCTCCGGAATTCGTTGCCCTTTTATGTTTGTATTTTTTTTGTGTTATGTTTGCGTTAAATAGAATTTCTGAAATGTCGTCACTGCATATTCGTCAATATTTTCAATATTTATAGTAAAGTTATAACACTCAATTTTGCTGTTTGTTAGTGAAAACTCTGCAGATACTTTGCTGTAGTCAGAAATCCCAAGTGCGTTGTGATCGATTCATTTGATTTAGCTTCGCGTGATTGTCATGTCAAGGTCCCGTGTTACCAGATATTCGAATAATAAACTGCTATTCTAATATTCGACTTGATATCCGAATATTTTGTCAGCCATACTCAGTAACCAGTAATAAAGTATTGACTTGATTGATATTATGTTAATAAAATTGCATGTTATGTATTATGTAAATTATTACGCAATCAGGACTTAGCTGGTATTAAAGTTTGGTATATTCAAACGTTTGCGGCCGCAATGAATTTCGTCATGTGAAACTGAAAGTGACCCGCGAGCCACGAGACCAAAAAGGTTGGGCAGGCCTGTTGTGAATGTTTGATAAATGTTATGTAAATTATGGTAATCATTTCTTGTAACAATAATCACGTTGATCTGTAATGGATTTCACCAAAGTGTTATTTGAGGTTACGTTGTAGTATCTTGAGTCTAGACTGAATATAACTATTGGTAACGCATGACAAGCCGATAGAAGCCTGTTGCATTTCAATTTATCCATTGTATCTGACTTACGCCTCCTGCGGTGATGTCTCATAGTGGTAGTTTTATCATTGACTATCCCGCGGCGATAATGACTCTTACAAAGTACAACATTGCAGTGAAAAGAAAAAAAATGTATTGTAGTAAAAACAAGAGAGCTACGCCCAAATATATGGACACGTCTGTTCGCAGTATAGTACGGTTTACCCAAAGTGACTATAAACCAAGTGAGGACATGCATTGGTAACGTTATAAGCGGTCGTGTGACGTCACACCAGCCAATTTGTGTCCCGAGTTCTATCGCGGTATGCTCCTAACTAAGTGATTCAAACCTGCGATCGTTAAACAGCTGAATAAAAAAAACGATGCTCAATAATTAGTCATAGTCAAGTTTATTTTTTCCCATTCAGTAAAAAATAACATACGAAATTAACAAAATACAAAACTGAAAACACATTTTTACTGGGGATGGGAAGTCGCGTGGAACCAGGAATGGTTATCGAGCAGCGACACCCGAAGATAACCGACCGACCCGATTTTATAATTCGGACCAAACTTTCGCAGCGGCAAAACGAATGAACATTCTTTTGAAAAATGAATTATCCGCATATGTTTCTCGGATAACTCGGCTCGGCGGTATGGTCAGCATGTAGCCATGTACATACTGTCACCAACTTCACTCGATAAATCAACACCCAATAAGACCAAAATATTAAACAAAAAGATACATGTCTTATTATAAAATTCCTGATGTAAGTATCGCTACTTGCACAGAACCTGTTTTAACAAACTGACAGAACC